GTTTGCTTGGGCTTGCCATCTAAAAGTCTCCCCGACTGGGTAACATAAGGGCCCCCAAGCATTTCACAATAAATATTTGCAATTCCAGTATTCTCCATAAGATTAATTTATATATATATATATATATATATACATAGATATATAGATATATATATAGTTATAAAATATCTAACGATATTTTTGAAGTCTACACATATTGAGTAGATTTATTTATTGAAGAATGCATACTACTTAAAATAGCCAAGTACTATAATGTGAGTGTTATATATTGGTATACACGACGAGATAACACTAATGAGTTTTTAACGCTGCTTCTTTACCAATACAGACTTTTTGGTAAAGAATATTTTTTTTAATTTATACTTTTACATATTTTTCCACAACTAGGACTTCTTCTCAGTCTATTTTAATTTTGTTTCCTCATCTCATTGCTTCTTTTTATTCTAGAAGAGAAAAATAAGAAAGAAACGTCATCGCCAAAAGAACCACAGCCATTCAGCTCCAAATATGTCAAACCTGTTGCTTATTACCGAGTCGGAACTGGTTCGAGGACCATTAATTGGTTCTGGCGCTTTTGGCACGGTTTATCAGGGCTTTTGGTATCCACAATGTGCAGCTGGAGTTCGGATAAAGTCTCAGCTCATTCAACCTCCTGTTGCCAAGCCCTTTAACCCGGAAGCTTTTGATTCTGCCTGTTGCATTCCTCAGCATTATATCGACTTGGCGACGGACGCGACAAGTCAGACGGACGTCGCTAACAGCGTGTCTCTTTGCGACTTTATGTCGAAACCAAGCAGTTCTGACCAAAACTTTAGTTTGCAGGCCAATTCAACTGACCCTGAAAATAATAAACTCTTCAAAGTCACCTCAACGACGTCAGATAAACCGGCGTGTACATCATCGTCCAAAGAGATGGACCTTTTGCAAGCAAACAAATGTCCTTTGAGCTGGTCTGATCGAGCCCCAAATAGCTGTGACAGTTCGCAATTTCAATGGCCCAACGAGACTCCTCAAGACGGTTATTTGGTTCCAGTTGGGCAAGGCGCGTCGAAGACAACAAACTCCAGCCTTCAGTACGGCAGTATGTCAGTTTCCATGGCAACAGGACAGTCTGAGACGAGCCTCAGCTTATCCGCATCACCAAGGCACAACTCGCCCTCTGCCGAAGGATGGAGCACATTAGAGAAAGATGCAAAAAAAGGTTTCAAAGTTTCGTGGCCAAGAGAAGCTCTTCAAACGGTCTCATGTATTCCAGTCGCCATAAAAGTCCTTAACGATACCCAATCTGCAAGAAATTCAAAAGAGCTGCTCGAAGAGGCTCGTGTAAGTCCGTTGAACACAAGTGAAGCATAAAAAATACCAAACACATTTTAGCAGTACGCTTAGAAATTAATGAATGATCATTGCCTATTGGACATTTCAGAGGCCTGAATACGTGCTAAATTGGTACAGCCATTTGTAATATAATTAATTATATACCAAATTTGGAAGATATGAAGACCAAGATAGTGTGCATTTTGTATGTTCGCGGTCTCTTTTCGTTGAATAGAGATTCTTTGATCTTGTTTTCGCAACTCGGTCATATTGGCAGGAAGACCTGGAGGAACGTACCTTGTCCGGAGTCCATAGTATGCATGATCATTTCCGGAGTCGGACCGTGGACTCGGTACATTCCCAGACTTTTCGCCGGCATCGTCAGTGAGTCTTGTCAGTCTTAGCATCAAACTTCAACTCGTCGATGAGACCTTGATTTTAACAAATACGTTGAAGGAAAAGCGAGAATGTGTGGAAGGAACTCATTCAGTTTCCGAGACAACTCTCCGAGGCCGGAAATCATCATGTCTGTGGACGATATGACAGTTCATTTCGAGGAAAAAGTTGATTGAAATGAATTCCTGAATTGGTCGTACCGAAAAACGTGGGAAAAGTGACTACATTAGAATGAAGGCTTCTGGATTGAGTGAAGCAGTCTTGTGGCTTTGAGTAACCCTTGCTGAGGGTTCGTATGTCCCGTCGTGACAGACATCATCATAAGGAGACTCTGTACTTTACGTAAAAGAGCAACAATATGCTAAACCGAGAGAGGGAGCGTGCTTTGGAGGGGAAATCAACAAAATTCGCATAAGCGAACATAAACATGCACATACAAATACAGAGACAGACACACTCACATGCATCGAAGTTGACATATGACCTTAACTAACTAAATCACTTTATACTTATTTTCGTATTAGAGTAGAGTTACCTAACTACCAGTG